ACCTTCTTCCTGCCATTACAGCAGTTTTATTATTATTCAAATGGTTGATCGTTTGTAAAATTTAAAGTTGTCTTTTACTCGGAGTGAGTTTGTGACAATAATATATTCTTCACTTTTTTCCTTTTGGTTTCTTCACTTTCTTCTTTTATAAGAAAACCCATGCAACAGTCTAAACAGTCAATTTTGTAGCAATTTTAGCTTTTAAAATATGTGCAATAGAAAAATAGAGTGAGCTAGAGAAGAGCTAGAAAAAGAAAAAATGAACTCCCATTTGCCGGAAAGTGAATGGAAAAAGTGCATTTCATTGTGAAAATGCCTTTTTCTTGGAGCTGAGTCCTCTTTGTTTTCTTGCCAACATTTTTTTCTGTGCTTTAGCAATCGGCCGCTGGTTGTGTTCTGAACCTTGGTCTGGTACACATTTGGTACAGTGCATTNTGCAATAGAAAAATAGAGTGAGCTAGAGAAGAGCTAGAAAAAGAAAAAATGAACTCCCATTTGCCGGAAAGTGAATGGAAAAAGTGCATTTCATTGTGAAAATGCCTTTTTCTTGGAGCTGAGTCCTCTTTGTTTTCTTGCCAACATTTTTTTCTGTGCTTTAGCAATCGGCCGCTGGTTGTGTTCTGAACCTTGGTCTGGTACACATTTGGTACAGTGCATTAGAGAGAGCTGTGCACTAGACTGTACAAAAATAAAGATGATGAGGGCAAGACAGAGGAGGCCGAGGACATCATCGACTTCATTGTCAAATCGGGCCGTCTCTTTACCAGGCTAATTGAATTAATTTGAATTACAAATTAGGCTAAAGTAGAATAATAGTGAAGGCAATAGTGGAAAGTGGCTGTCCTTTCACCAATGACAATGGCCAAATGAGCGAGTGGATAGAAGATTGGGGCATTTGCTGCCAAAAACATTACCGTTTTGGCATCGTTATTGCTCCGTTATTTTTTCTTTTTTTCCCTTCTCTCAAATGGCCCTGTTTGGCTATTCAGTAGAGAATGCATTCATTTTCCATTCTTTTAGATTCCTGTTGAAAGACTTTTTATTTGGTTTTATTCGGTTTGACCGGATGTCGCTCTTTTAGACTGTCGTGGACAGAAGAATAAAAGGAGAATAAACGAGAGCGTTTGAANTCATTTTCCATTCTTTTAGATTCCTGTTGAAAGACTTTTTATTTGGTTTTATTCGGTTTGACCGGATGTCGCTCTTTTAGACTGACGTGGACAGAAGAATAAAAGGAGAATAAACGAGAGCGTTTGAACAGAACAGCAGCGATGATGGTCTAACCGAGCAGGCAAAGTGGCAATTTGAAGAGGAGATGCAAAGCCGCTGCAGTAAAAAACCGGCGCTGCAGTTTAGCACAATTCACTGTATTGTATAGAACACAACATTGGCATTATTCTGCCAAGTCGTACAAAACGGTTGATGACGGCTAACCAACAACGACAACAAACAGCAAATGGAGGATACCAGAATTTCACTGTTTGGCATATCCACTTTGGAAAAAATGTGAGGGAAAGTGAATGGTTTAGGCACTAAAAAGAAAACTGCTGCTGTTTCAGAAATCGAGCGTTTCAGCGCTTCTTCTCCTTCTTCTTTTGAAAGTGACCATCGAAGCAGTCAATGGACCGCTCTTTCTCTCTTGGTTTCTGCAGTCATCATCAGTCATCGCCAGCTACCACATCAGCACCAACATCAACATCAACGCTCGGCGCTTTTCATTGGCAACTAAGTGCGTGTAAAATGACAGCTCAGAAAGAAGAAGAAAAAGAAGAAGAAAAGTGGAGGGGAGAAACGCTAGTTTCAAAAGAAGCTCAATTGGAGCAATTCTTGTCATCTTTCGGCAAATAGCCGCAACTTGATAGGCAAAGCAGCCCTCTTCTGAAAAGACTGCTTAGGAATGCGCATTCAAGCATCTAAACATCAGCAGCAGCAAAAAGCGGGCGCCTCATCATCATCTCTTGTGAACGTACAGCACAGAACAGTTGAAAGCCCAGTGTCATTTGTCCGATGACGACTGCCTTTTGGTTTTGTGTCTGTGTCGCCGGCCGTCCCCGGAGCTATTGATGCGTCCATTCAGTGCATGCTGGCTGGATGGCTATATTTCCGGACTCGTATTTCTGACAGCATGACGGCAGTTTCTGGCTGCTGCTGCTGGACCGCACAGCACTAGATGCGCGCCTAAATGGCCTCTAATTTGTCGTAGTTGGGCAGAATGGAGGAACTAAAGTTGGCAAAAGTTGCCCGGGATGCAAATGGCTGACAATGGCTTCTCTTTCTGTCGGGAAGCTCACTGACTGCTTCGATTGGTGGCACTTACGGCAATCGAAGCAAACAACAACAGCAGCAGCAGCAGTAGCCATTGAGCGGGCCCCAATTTCGGTGGTCGTTGCAGCAGGACTCTAAGCGAGTCAGTTTTCCGGTGGTTAAGTTTTTGGCTCCACTTCCGTTTTGGAGAGAGGGTGAGCTCTATTTTGGAAAACTTGCATGCAAATGCAGATCACTGCACCGGACGCCAAGTGCTACTCATTGAGAATGCTGAACATACCAAACGAACTCAACGACAACAACAACAACAACAATGCCCAATTCGCGTTGATGGTGGTCATTAGATTGTGATGCCATTGACGATCACTTTCTCTCCCTTTACCGTTTCTGCATCGATTCGTTTTGGTCGTTTGTCGTCGTCGTTTCTCTTTTCTGCTAATCTGTCGCATTCACTGGCACTACTACCAAACTACGGCAACTCTTCGATTAGCAATGTTGATGTCTCTTTTTCTTCTCTCTTTCCTAAATTCATGCTCTTTGAATGGCCATTTTCCGCGATCATTCTCGGATTGTAGTGCTCGGCCTCAGCCAAGTTGGCCACCACCACCACCACTAACACTGACAATGGCATCGGAAGCACTCGATCCGAGTTGAATTAAATCGCTCCATTTTCAAAACATGATCGATTTCGCTTTTATTATTCAGCTTATTATTATTTAGTTGTGTTGTTGATGCCGTTGCTGAATGCAATTCCTGATCGTTTTTGCCGTCTTTTGGGTGGCGCATTATTTATTCTTTATTTAGTCCTATTACTAGTCAGTTGCAGAGCTCAATCACTGATGGTCTGGTAGACAAAAAAGAAGAAATCAAAATCGATTGCCACTTTTCTGTTTATCGGTACTTGGTGAGATTGACTTTCTCGACTTTCAATTCGATTTGCCTTGCCCCCATCTTCTCTTTTCCGGTCTCTTCGATCTTCATAGTGTGGGGCCCAAATTGAGAGCAATCACCAGCACAGGAAAAGTTCATTTAGCTGCAGCAGCTAGCTTAGATTTTCATTGATTCATTGATTGTTCCCATTGGTTGTCCGGCTGCTTAGTGCAATTATTGAGCAAACCTAGGACTTGCAAAAAAACGCCAGTCCTAATCTGCAGACAAGGTTAAAAGCAGCTCAGAAACTGTCTGCGACAAATGTCAGAGGAGATGTTTCTGAGCTGAAGCAGCAGCAGCAGCTTTATTTGTGACTGGGAAAACGACAACAAACTTCTTCTTTTTGGCGACACCTTTCCCTCTCACTGTCCCCTCACCTGATCACCTTCACACAATTGACACTGTTGGTTGTTTGTTTACCTGATTGACTGACTGACTGTCTGACTGGATTACCGGAGGACTGAGAAGGCAGACAGTGAAAGCGAAGTCAGCCTAGGAAGCATTCATTTTGTTGGCCCATTTGACAACTTCAGCAGTAGCAGTTAACCTGGCCCCTTTTGATTGAGACACACACACACTTACCCACTTTGAATAGAATGGAAAAGAGAAGAAAAGCACAACAAACGTCCTCTGAAAGTTTAATTAGCTACAACTGTTCGGAGGCTTGTGAGGGCTGGTGTGTGTCTGTGTATCGTTTGAATTAAACAGACTGCACTTATTATTATTCCCATTCAGTGGTGGTGATTGCAGCCAGGGTGGCCCAGACCAGTAGTTCTTACCCTCTTTTGGAGGAAGAAGAAAGGGAGGATTAGCGCCATGTAATTGGCGTCTAAATGCTCTCTCTGTGGGCCATTGTGACTCTTCTCAGTAGCAGAAGCAAAAACAGCAGCTCCACTTCACTTTCAAATTCAATGCCAGCCCCTCTTGACTCTTGACTCAAGGAAGGAATGAGAAGAAAGAGAAAGAAACTCTAGAAAACAGACTTTGCTGACTAACAGCAGCCAGATTGCTCTCGATTGGATGGCGTTGAATATGAGTTTGTGTGTGTGTTTGCTAATCGGATTAGCACCACACCATAGAGTGTTCAATGTATTTGAATTGAAAAGTGCTCCGCTTTCAGCCCACACGTTTCTGAAGAGGTGTCAGTGAGTAGTAGCAATAGTAGTAGTCCTCGCTGACTTTTCGCACTAATCCACCGACTCCACATTTGTGTTGGGGCATATCATTTGAGTCAGTCGATTTAACTGCTGCTGCTGCTGCTGCAGCCCAGACAGACTTTATTTGAAGAGAGTGACTAGTCACTAGTCCATTTACCAGGGCCTTTGTTGTCCTCTCTTTCTCTGTTTCAATCACCAACACTCTCACCAAACCTTTAACTTGCTTTGGAAACGTTGCAAAGTGATTCAACTGTTGTTGTTGTTGTTGGTAGGTGAGAGATTAAAAGTGAGCAAAAAGAAAACGAGGCTCTTGAGACAGAGGGGGAAATGAAGTTTGAGCCGTCTGGCGTCTGGCTCAAACTTCGGAGACCACCACCAGTTTGGTGCTGCTGCTGCTGCTCTTTGGTGATCCCTGATCGTTGCAAACGATCGTTTCCATTGTTTTGCAGACACACACACACATTTTTATTTCCCCTCCCAAGCAAATCCTAATTGGCAATTGGCCTTGGGCAGATTTAGGCAATGAGCCCCTGGATAAAAATGTAAATGCGGCGGTCGGTAGATGGAAATGCTTTAATATTAATATTACTTGGAACAAAATTGAAATGCTTGAAAAGTGTGCTGCAGAGGAGTTGGTTCTAGTCGCCCTTATGCTTCCACTTTCTCCTTCTCCTCTTCATCGAGTTTGCACTTTTTCAATGGCGCAGATTCTTCTTCATCTTCCTCCTGCTGATTGTCGCCGTTTCCATTTTCAGGCTCCTCCTCAGCTTTCTTCACATCTTGGCCTGTCGGTGGTGGTAGAAGTAGAAGCAGAAGCATCATTAGTATCATTGCTCGAGGACAAAAGGTCGATCAAGTCACCTTCTTTCTTAGCGGCGGTGGGAGTGTCCAGCTTTGGCTCTTCCACGCCGCAGAGTCGCATCAGGTGGAGCTTCTCATTGCGGGCGACGTAGGCACGCACCGAGTTGCGGCCCTTCCACGCGCAGAGGGCCACCATGAAGGTCGAGGAGGAGTTGGGCGGCGGGCGGGCGACCTTGGTGTAGAGGATGGCGCCGCCGTGCGTCACCCCCTCCAGCTTGGAGCGGGTGGCGGGCGGAAGGAGCTCAATCTTGACCTCCTCCTGCCGCAGCACCTTCACGAAGGTCTCCAGGTCGAGGTCGGTGATGGTGAAGGTCCGCTTCGGGTTTGCTTCAGTGGAATCAACCACCGGCGCGTACTGCTCCAAGTGGGGGACAAAGTAGGGAAAGAGCGAGGGAATGCCCTCCTGGCTGACGCGAAAGGCGCAGGGCACCTGGGAGATGTCCACGCGGCAGAACACCCGGCAGCCGCCGCTGATGATCTGGTGGAAGTTTGCAGAAAAAGAATGATGGGAGTTAGAAATTGATACTAGATCCGATTATCCTTTTCAGTACCTTGACATGGCCATTCAGGGCGACAAAGTCCGCCGCCCGCTCGGTGAAAAAGTACAGATTGCGGCGCTTGCCGACGGCGCAGCGATGCGCCAGCTGCTGGACGTTAAAGCTCTCCGGCAGCTTGAAGAAGGACCTACAAAAACAAATCAGAAAAGTTATGTTAACATAAAAAAAGTCATCAAAAGATCATCTGCACAATTACTTAATATCCGCCCAGTCAGCGTCGTCCTTCGTCAGGAAGGAGAAGGGCACCTCCTTGTAGCCGAAGAACTGGCGCTTCTTTCCGCCACGGCCAGTGGTGAGGCTCGTCTTGTCCTCCTCCGTCTTATCAGCACCACCACCTTCTCCAGCAGCCTCCTCTTCCTTCTTCTTCTTCTCCTCCTCCTCCTCCTGCTCCCTCTTCTTCGCCTCCTCCTCCTCCTCGGTGGGCTCCCAGGGCATGCGATCGGTCTTCTTGCGGAGGATGGCGATGAAGAAGCCGCCGGTGTTCTGGTAGTGCGGCAGAATGCGCACGCACCGCCGCAGACGGAGCTCCGCGGCGTTGGCCGGCGGAAAGAGCGTCTCGCGGATCTGCGTGCGCAGCTTCTCCGGCACCTCCTCGTAGGAGGTGTACTGGACGCCGTCGCGCGACATCACCGTCCAGTGCTCCAGGCCGGGCAGGTGCTTCAGCTCGGGCAGGGTGGCCGCCGCGTCCACCAGCTCCAGGGCGCCCTTGGAGTCGTTGAGCAGGCTGGCCACCACCGACTCGTCCTCCGAGGGGTTCAGACTGCAGGTGCTGTACGCCATCAGGCCGTCCTTTGCGAGCAGCTCCAGGCCGCGCCGGGCAATCTTCGCCTGCATGTGGTGGAAGTTGTTCGAATTGGCGGCGTTCCACTTGGTCCAGACGTCGTAGTTCTTGCGGAGGGTGCCGTCGCCGGTGCACGGGACGTCGGCGAGGACGCGGTCGAACTTGAGCGGCGTTTTGGTGGTCTTGCTGCCGTCTTCAGCAGCTGAAGAGGATGTTTTGTAGAAGGTGGGCATCGCCGAGGCGTCGTGGTTGGTGATCACCAC